GAGCTAGCCTGGTCCTAAAGCCAGTTAAATGGAAGAGTGAATTTTCATAGCCTTGGGAAAATCTGGGTTTACAGGGCAAACTCTGCAGGGTTGAGCTCATTGTGGAGACATGTTCCTTTTCATTGGCAAAAGAGGGAAGGAAGTGAGCCATGCCCTTGAAAAAAAAAAGAAAGAAAGAAAATAGCACCAGAGACATTCCAGCCGCTACTTGATAAGGACTGGGATGGTTGCCATCAACTCATGGCTAGAAGAAGGAAAATTTGGATCAGAGAGCAGCTGACCAAGAGAAACCATGCTGGATATGGGAGAGTTCCCATTAAACTACAGACTTTCAATAAGGGAGTCATTTAAACCAGTGGCTTTCAAATGTTTTTTGCAATGACACAGAGTGAGAAATATGTGCATTATATCATGACCCATATGTATACAATATCTATATCTAGGTAGATAGCAATAAATACACACACATTTATATGTATAATACCCCAATATGCCAATAGACCAAACGGCGAAACAACTGAACAACCGGTCACTATGACGTGTGCTGACCACCAGGGGGCACACACGGAACATGGTGGGTGTTGGCAACAGGCAGCAGAGCGTGGAACATGGCGGGCAGGCGGCCACAGCAGGATGGTGGAAAAGGCGAGCAGGGGCTCCAGACAAAGGTGGGGCACCAGTCACTGTCATCAGGGCGAGTCTCTGGTGGTTATTGAAAATTCTTTGCTTCTGCACACCACAGTCCCGCCCAGCACTCGCACCTGCTGCTGGCGCCATCAGCAGGTGCAAGTGGAGGCTGCTGGCCCCAATTGACCCTCAGAGCTTCTCCACCTCCCCCTGCTCCTGAGGGGTAATCAAGGCCCCCTACCTAAAACCCAACAACTCAAAGAGTAAAGGAGAATTTATTTTCCTCGCCTATAGAGAAATAGGCCATAACATGTAGCTTAGGTGTGTAGTAGGCTATACCATCTACGTTTGTGCAAGTGCACTCTGATATTAGCACAACCACAAAGTCGCCTAATAACACTTCTCAAACTGTATCCCTGTTGTTAAACAGCATACACCTGTACTCATAAATCCCATTCCCTAGACCCTGTTCTCAACATCCATCTACCTCTTGCACATTTCCAACTGAATTGCCCCACAGATTTCAAATTCTTAAGGTCCAAAATTGTACTATAAGTTTAACCTCTTCTCTATCTCCTCACTCAAATCTTTTTTTAAAGAATTCCTCATTTCAAAAAATAGCACCACACTCAGTCCCTCACACAAGCAAAAAATCTGTGAGTCATCATTTGCAATTTCTTTTCCTTTACCTCTACTTCCAATGGGTAACTAATTCTACCTTCTTAACATCGAGTGGTATGCAGGTAAATATTTAACAATCACCTCTCCAGGCTACAAAGCTCCAATTTACAGCACTTGCTCATTTCTGTGATGTAAACACCCCACCATAGCCAATTTTAAACAACTAACTTGATGTCATTGAACATGAAGCTGAAAAGAGGTATGCACAAATGGCTCCAGCAAACTATTGTCTATTCCTCCAAACCATTTCTTATTTCCATGTCTAAGTTTATAATTTCATTTTCTTCTCCTCAAGTAACACAATTGAATCTTTATGGATTTCCTAACCTCTATCTCATAGCCCCTCCCACAGTCGGACATAGTCTTCAAAAAATCTTTCTAAAATCCAAGTCCCATCATGTTACTCCCCTACCTAAAATCCTTCACTAGTTTTCCATTGCCTACTCTTTACCTATAATAATAAAAGCATATTATGCAAATCAACCTAACAGCCAAACAGCTTAATGACCCTCCGATGACCTTCCAGACAACCTTCTGGACGAAGCTGGGGCTGCAAAGGCCTACTCTTGCACAAATTATTTCATAATAAGACCCTTGATAATTAGGGGCCCACTGACTCTTGAGCTTCATTTCTTGCCACACCACCACCTATAACCTGTATTCCAATCACATTGGCATGCATCATCATATTCCCAGATACTGCTCCAGACCTTTGCATATTTGCTTATTCTGTTCCTACTCCCTAGGCCAACCTTCCCTAATTTGTTCATTGAGCAAGCCTCTTTTAAGATTCAGCTCAGCCCTAACCAGTTTGGCTCAGTGGATAGAGCATCGGCCTGCAGACTGAAGGGTTCCAGGTTCGATTCCAGTCAAGGGCATGTACCTTGGTTGCGGGCACATCCCCAGTAGGGAGTGTGCAGGAGGCAGCTGATTGATGTTTCTCTCTCATTGATGTTTCTAACTCTCTATCCCTCTCCCTTCGTCTCTGTAAAAAATCAATAAAATATATATATTTTTTAATCTTGACACATGTAATGGCCCCTAGAAGTGGGATATGACTAGTGGTAGACCTAATTATGGAAACAGGAGCAGGTAGGAAGGATGCCCCTCTTCATAGCTGAGTTGTGTTCATCATCCATGTTACTCCATTACAAGGCAGTTAACTACACTACTCCCTCCTGTATTTTGGGACACACAGTTCACATGCTTCTGAGGCTAAATCTTTAGGGAAATTGGTAGGAAAATACTGGAGCGTATGACCATTTCTCTCAGCTTTTGGTAAAATCCCAGAAATGACTTAGCTTCAGCCAATATGGACTATTTGAATCAGAAAAAAGAAAATTCTACCTCACCTAGACTGGCCCTTTCTCCTGGTAGAAATCCAAGATGGCAGAGAGTCAAATAATTATTTAAAATAAAAACAAAATGTGAAATTTGAGTCAATGCATCAAGGATAATGCTAGAAAAACAAAGGGAGGAAGAAAACATAGCAAAAAGTAAGATTAGGACCAAGAGAATTAGGGGAAGCCTAGTCACCAAGTACCTCCAGATGTATATATGCTCTCTCCCTGGCAAAGAGCGACGTGCTGAGATGAAGCCAGAGGACGTGGAACAAACTAGTGTTGCCTTTATCTCAGAGGCAAAAAGATAAACTGCAAAATTAAGGGCTGAAGAATGGGCAGTGCAGTAAGGCCTACATCTAAGAGGAAAGTCCCCAGGCTGGGGCCCAGAGGCAAGGACCAGACCACAGAGTGGAAAATGCATGTCAACCAGCAGGCTTATGTTGTGTTAAGATAAACTGCCATAGAAGCCTTGGAAAACGAAAATCTGTCACTGCTCCAATATCAACCTCCAGGTATCCTAACCCACAGCACCAGCAGAATTTAGGATGCTGAAATAATACACCTTCTTTAGGAAAATCGTACCCAGTGTTCTTCTCAAGTCTATTCATGGAATTCTTAGGAGGCAATAAAGAAAACATAGGAAAAGGTTAACTCTGGGAAACAAGATTATGAGGCAGAGATAAATGTAGAAAGGAAATTATATTCCTTGGGCTGTACTATGAGAATGACTTTGATTTACAGAGTCTAAATCAAATACTATTTCTGCCCAGCCAGCATGGCTCAGTGGTTGAGCGTCGACCTATGAACCAGGAGGTCACGGTTCGATTCAAGGTCATGGCATATGCCTGGGTTGTGTACTCAGTCCCCAGTGTGGGGCATGCAGGAGGCAGTTGATCAATAATTCTCTCTCATCATTGATGTTTCTATCTCTCCCTCTCCCTTCCTCTCTGTAATCAATAAAATATTTTTAAATATAAATCAATCAATCAAATACTATTTCTCTCAAACTGTTTACGTGCTATCAATTTATGTACTGTGACACCTGGGAAGTTGGTTACCAAGCAAAGCCACTTCAAAAGGAACAAGTGCTGGCCCACCTTCCTCTGTGAGAAGCGAGCTCAGATGCTACAATGCACCACGCAGCATCACCTTATCATAGCCGGGTTTCTAGAGTGCCCCCCCCCCCCCAGAGCAGCACCGGCATACAGCATTCTTTCCTTAAGTCTTCTTGGAACTCTGTCTCCCACAAGTAATATAACCTATACTGTATTTCTATTAAAAGACACAGAATCACATGGAAGCAGAAAACATTTTCCAATTCCATATGGCTAGGATCTGTCACTTTCATGCTTAAGGAAGAAGCGTAATTCCCAAGACCCACTGCATCCTCCCATCATGGTCATTAACTACCCTGAGAAAACAGCCACTAGGGAAGCCACAGGGAATATTTCTGTTCCCTGAGCAAAGGAAAGAACACCAAGTGGGTGGGGTCATGGATGAGTAAGGGCAGGCCCAGAGTAATTCTGAAGATATTTTCACACTCATGAACACTAGGCCGTCACTTGGCTTATTAAAATAGTGCTGGGTACTGAGAGAAGTTGGCACCTTTTCCTGGAGATGAGATGGCCCTGGGGGTTTGAACAAGAGCTGGAACACAGCTGCCATGGCTAAAACCAAGCAAGTACAGATGTCACACCAAAGTAATTTCATACCATCCCACCCTGCCAATTCAGAATGCCAAAGGAGGAAAAGTCTTTAAAATAGACTAGACAACTATTTTAAATACCACTTCTGTGTGTAACTAAAGTTTTTGCTATTGCGGTCCAGGAATGACAGTTAATATAGTTTAGAGAACTTAATAAAAATCAAACTGCTTAGGAAGATGAACACAACACAATGTGCAGTTCTTGGCTTGGAACAACCACATCAAACTCAAAGACTCTGTAACTCCAAATGCCTTTTTTAGAGAATGTCCTTCTAGGCCTTTTTTTTGTCCTTCAATGTTTGTTTTCCTTATAAATAGTACTATCTATTATTTCCTATGTTCTTAAATGATACGCCAGTAGCACGTGGCACCACACCACAGTACTCATTTCCCTTAGAGAGTTAAGTCAGGGAAACTGGAAATTTCAGGGGGACAAGTATCTAACCACTCCACTGTACATCTGAAACTAATATAAAATAATATTAAATATAAACGGTAATTAAAAACACTTATAAATAGAAAATGTAAAAGAAAAAAACAATTCAGCACAAAGAGAAAAGTATAAGTATGAAAAGTATATAAATAGTGGTAATAAAGGGTAAGGAATATAAACACACACACACACACACATAAAACCAACTTACCAAATGCCTTCTTAGGTTCTATTAAATTCATGGTAAAGAGTTCCTCTTTTTTTAATTCCTTTAACTTCTTAGCAACATCAAAATGACGCCACCCAACAATATTTTCTCCATTTATGGATTCAATATGATCTCCCACACAGATTGTTTTAACTGAGTCAATTATGCTGCCCTCTTTAATTCTCTGGAAAAAAAAATTAAGGATATTGCTTAATGTAAAATAGAACTTTGTAACATTACTTTTCATGTTCTTGAGACATAACATACAATATATTAACATATTAACAATGCAATGCAATGCTCAGTTAAAGATGGAAGACCAAGCAACAAAAGACAACCATCTTACCTCCACCCATTCTTCTTCTTTCTTATCATTCAGAATTCAGCTCCATCCCAGTCACCACCTCCTCTGAGAAGCTCCTCCTGACATCTTCTCCAGCTCACTCCCCCGAGATTAGGTAAGGTACCACTCACATCATGCTTCTGCAGTACTTTTTGCTATATATGCTGAGCTCTAAGCTAAGCACTTTACATTTACTATCTCATTTAATTTTAACAACCTTAATGAGAGTCTCATGTCTCAGGAAAATTGAGACTTAGGGAGATCAAGTAATTTGCCAAGTTCAACATAACCACTATGCAATTGTTTATTTACCTTGGGGATGGAGATGGTCTTATTCACCATTGTATGCCCTGTAGCTAGCACAATGCCTGCAGAGAGGAGTCCCTCCATAAATGATTATTAAATCATTTCAACATGAAGCCCATTACATAAGAACAGAACTTGAGCTTTTTCTACTGGCTATATTTTTTAACCCTTCGCTAGAAATGCGATGACTCAAGACTTCATACAACCTTAGCTAAGAAAATTGACACTTAATAAAAGTCAGGTGTGTTTACCATTTGGGGAGCCAATAAAAATGATTTTTATAGCATCACTAGAAACCCAGTGCATGAAAATTCATGCACTGGAGGGGGAGGGGCCCCTCAGCCCAGCCTGCCCCCTCTCACAGTCCGTGAGCCCTCAGGGTGGGAGGCAACCCTGCGATCAGGGGAAGGCAACACCCCCATCACACCTCTGCTGCTGCCACTGCTGGCAGCGCAAGTCTCGGCTGGCCCTGGTTACCTGAGCCTAGGGCGGCCCTGGATGGCTGCGCAGCCAACATCAGAGGCTTTCCTGCACCTCAGGCATCAGTTGGGCAGCCGACATCCAAGGCTTGCCTACACCTTGGGCCGGCCCTAGGTGGCTGGGGGGCTGAGGGCGGGTCCGGCCGCACCAAGCACCTGCCACCCTCCCCCACCCTGGCATGGTTGAAAGGACTTGGGGACTCCGACAGGGCTGAGGGGATTGGGCGCCACCATATTATGGCTATGAGTGCCGCCATCTTTCTGACAGTGTGATGTTCAATTTGCATATTCCCTCTTTATTAGATAGGATTTTCCACATATATTTTAGGTGAGAACTTAGGAGTCAAAGAGAAATTTCAATTGATTATTCTTAAATCTATCTTACCCAGATACCATACTACAGCCTCAAAATGAGGGCTAAGACTCCCTAAGAGAGCACTAAGAATTTCTGAAGAAATTTTAGGAACGCCAGAAAACTGCACAAGTGACAACCCTGCAAAGGATGGACAAGTTCCTCCACAGAGGTAAGGAATGGAGCAAAATGAAGACCATGATCAGCCTCAGATGTCACAAATCCTTCCTGGGGATAATAGGATAGGAATACCAGGGGCTGCTGCTATCTTATATAATAGAAGCCTAATATGCTAAGTGTCCAGTTGATCGGTCATCTGTTTAACCAATCAAAGCATAATATGCTAATGATATGCTAAGGCTGCTCAACCGCTCGCTATGATGTGCACTGGTCAACAGGGGGCAGACAGTCAACCAGTCGACCAGTCACTTTGACGTGCACTGACCACCAGGGGGCAGACACTCTGACTGGTAGGTTACCTTGCTGCTGGGGTCTGGCTGATTGGGACTGAGCAAGACAGACCGGACATGCCCTGGAGCCCTACCGCAGTCCCTCCCTGGTTGGCCAACCTCCCGTGTTTCTCCCCAGCCCCAATCATGCACCGGTGGGGTCCCTCGGCCTGGCCTGTGCCCTCTTGCAATCTGGAACCCCTCGAGGAGTGTCAGAGAGCCGGTTTCGATTTGATCCCGGAGGCATAAAAGGCTAATATGCAAATTGACCAAACGGCAGAACAACTGGTCACTATGATGCACACTGACCACCAGGGGGCAGATGCTCAATGTAGGAGCTGCCCCCTGGTGGTTGGTCAGTGCACTCCCACAAGGGGAGCACTGCTCATCCAGAAGCCGAGCTCACGGCTGGCGAGCCCAGCGGCAGTGGTGGGAGCCTCTCCCACCTCCGCAGCAGCACTAAGGATGTCCAACTGCCAGCTTAGGCCCGCTCCCCTACAAGAGGGCACAGGCCCGGCTGAGGGACCCCCTCCCCCCCAGTATACAAATTTCATGCACTGGGCCTCTCTTCACTCTTGCCAGGTGGAAGAATAACATCTGAATTAGCTGGCTAATGGATCACTGTGTACAATAGTTAAGAGAGAAATTGATCTAATGTACCCCAGCTTCTCCATAATATTGCCAAAAGAAAAAAAGTTGTAAAAGACTAACCTGGGAAGTTGGGCATTTTTAATTTTTAAATTTTATTACTAATATTCCAAAACTCACAACAGGTTTCTTTTTTACCCTGAAATTTTAAAAGTACTGCTATGTTCACTGTAATAGTTACTATGCTTTATGCCAATGACACAAAAATGCTGATTCAAACAGAACTTATCAATATTATTGCAATAGTTCATTATAAACCAAAGAAACCAGAAATTTCATAATCTAACTGGCATTGTTTTATTATAAGTGCACATTAGCCTTATAAGCTATGGAAACAAAGAAGGGTAACTACAACATACTACTCACAGAAACATAAGCCAGATTAAACAGAACACTAGAATCCAAAGATCAAACAAACAAAAAATCTCCATAGCCCATAAACACAGACAATGGTGAGGTAAAAGGCCTAGGGTGGGGTGGGAGCCAGGAGGAGGGAGCAAAGAGGGGGAAATGGGGGACATCTGTAATACTCTCAACCAAAGAAATCCCTAATATTCTGTCACCTAACCATTCTTAAAGCACTAGAGAATGTGAAAATCTGTAACTCTTGACTTTTTTCTTAATTTTTATTCTAAGTTATTTCTTGATACATTCTGAACCTATTTTTTCTCAATCAACTGTACCATACAGTTTTCAGTTTTACATCTAATTTTTCATTTAAGACATGGTTATAATTTTGTTAAAAATAAGTGTTATATAAAACTAAATAAATAAAACTCTTTAAAGACCTGTATGAATCTTACCGGTAAATTAAAGGGCAGAGCAACAGAAATGTAGGGTCACCTGGCCCTGTGAGTAGGCACGGAAGCCACCAGAAGAGCGCCCAGACAGAGGGAGGAGAGGCAGAATTCAGCAGGTGAGAATCCAGGGGAGCAAGAGAAAAGTCAAAGCATATGTAATCATCACGGGCAGCAGATACGGATCTGGGAGGAAGAGACAGGAAAGTCAACATAAGAAACTTGGAGGAAGAGTACCATAAGGTGAACCAGATACAGAAGCAACGTGGGAGACATTAATTATATGTACCTGAGCCTTAGCTTCCTAAGTAGATAAAGAAGGAAGTGGCAATTGAGACAAATTTCTGAAATCTAATATGCTTTGATAATCATAACCATAATTTGATAGAGATTAATAATATTGCTAAAAGAGCTGCTCAGGCACCAAGGACTAGGAAGGGGTAAAAAGAGGCATTAATTCTATACTTATATTTACTGCATCACTTAATATCATTCACTATAACACTCAGAACTTTCCTTCACCTGACTTTGGAGGTTGATGCTAAAAAAAGCAAAGAAGACATTAAATATATTTTTGGGAGATAGGAATTTACAACATTATTAAACTTAGAGATTCCCAACCATTTCAGACATTATGATAGTATCTTCCATTATTACACCCCATATATTTACAGAACTCTGTCTTCTCATCACAGGTATCAGCAGAACTCTAAGGTGGCCTCCCACCCCCGCCCCTCAACCCCCCGAAAGTCTTAAGCACCAGATTCAAAGTTGTTTGAGCTGCAGGCCCCACCGCCATGGTCAGCAACTTTGAGATCTGTGCTGACCCTCCCAATACTGTCCTGAAACCTTATTCACATTTGTAAATAATTATTTCATTTAGTCCTCTCAACAAATCTAGGAGGGGAATATTTAATATCCCATTAGTAGATGAGGAAATCAAAGCACAATGAAACATGGCTTACCCAAAATAACACAGCTAATAAACAACAGAATTGGGTTTCATATGGAAGTGGTATAACTATAAAATGCCGTGCTCTTTCCACAAAACACTAAGAATCAGACAGATCTAACTAACCCAAGATCAAATATCTAGTTTAAAAAAAAAAAAAAGGCAGATGAGATGACCCCAAGAGCAGAGTTTTGGGTTATAGCTATTCAAAATGATCTATCACTTTGGTAATCATTTGGCAATATATAAATGTATCAAATCAATATGCTGTGCATATTAAACTTACATAATGTTATGTATGTCAATTATATCTCAAAAAAGCTGGGGGAGAAAATGACCTATCACCTTTGAACTCTGCAATCTCTTTTTTGACAACCCCACCTTTCCACTTTACTTTTGCTCACTTCTCCTAAAGCTGCTCTTCATCCATATCACAGCTTCTGGACCTCAAACATTAGCTAATTCCTCGGATCACTACTTCTCTTCTGGCTTTACATGCCTCTTCTCATGGGTTCTAACTTCCATCCTAGAACCCTCTGACCCCTTGAACTTGCATGTTTCCAACCTTGCTGATTATTAGTTCTGGATAATTAAGTAATCAAAAAGTTAGAAATATCTAAGTACCATATTTCTCAAAATAATGATCATGCTACATAAAATGTGATTGACTTAATTCTACTAATGTAAAAGTACCCCAAATCATAAAGATTTCTACAAAAGGATATTCTATAATGACCATTTTGTGTTTATTTATAAATCACCTAATTCAAAATAAATTTAGTTTTCTTAAGTCAATTTAGCCTCATTCCTTAATCACCTGGTATAATCCCTTATTTCTATTTTGAATCAAAGTTTAAG